GTACACAAATTTTCCATTGTAGCATACATATGATTTTTATTTTACTATTTTCACTTGTTTTTCTAAAAAATTTTTTTTGCATCCCTGTAGTCTTTTTCTTTCTTTTGCATTTCTGTAGTCTTTATAATTCTACTTTTAAATGGCTGCATGGTTTAATTTTTTTGTCAGACAAACATGGATTTGAATCTCAGTTTGTTATAATCTACTTATGTGATTCTGGGAAAGCTTTTTCTTTTTTTGAAGTGCTTTATTGAGTTATAATTGACATACAATAAACTGCATGTATTTGAAATGCAAACTTCAAGTTCTGACATGTATATACCTGTAAAACCGTCACCACAATCAAGATAATGAACATATTCATCATGCCCAAAAGATTCTTCCTGCCCTTTTGTAATCTCTCCCTCTTACCCCATATAATTATTTTAGACTCACCCATGTCATTGTTATGAAAGTGACAGAACATTTGAACCAGGTTACTTAAAAAGACAAAACTGGAAACGTTGGAAGGAGACAGCTTAGCCTCCTGTATGACTCTGGCCTGGCCTCAGAGGCAGGCCCTCCTAGGAATCTGTGGCAGGCTCAAGCACCTTTAGGGTGTCAGTCGTATCCCAGGTAATATTGATGGCTTATTTTTCACACAGTTCCTTTTTTTCAGGGTCCATGGCCAAAGCCCCACTTTCCAGCAGCTCTGCTCTTTTTGCCTCCCACTTGTGGATTTTCAATAGCTTTTTTTTCTCTACAATAGTCCTTACTTTTAAACTCTCCCATATCTGATATTTCCATTTCTCTCATTCTTTGCATGCTATCTTGGATGTGAAGTTATAGCTTTTAGTCCTAAGGGTTATGACACACACCAGAAACTGAAAAGTAAAACTGTAATTAATGACTCATAGAGCAAGTAAGGTGCTGCTGGAGGACCCCTCTGGGCTATGAACAGGTATGTCTCCCCTGCCCACCTGGGATTTCCTGTCACCTGTAAATTTGTGTCACTGGCCTGACAGGGCCCTGTTGAGACTTTTGACATTATCTTTGTTTCTGAAAGTCTCCTGGAGGGCAGAGGCTGGGGCTGGCTTACAACACAGACAAGTTCCTGAAGGGCCATGCTCGATTTACAGTATCAGGCACACTCTGGGAATTAGAGGGCTTCCAGATGCAGTCCTGCAGCCTGACACCAAGGGGCAGCATATACCAAAGGAAACATCTAGCTCTGCTAAAGCCAAGCAGAAGCCAAGCAGAAACCACCTTGCTTTTAAACCCCAAAAGCAAAGCACACAGAGGCCATATTCTCATCTCTCGAATCAGATTACAGCATTACAGTTTTAAATATCTATTAAGAGTTTTGCCTGCCAACTGAATTTTCCAAGAAGTTAATTTGTTGTTGAACATGATTTAAATATAATACTGCTGAGACCCACATACTCTGTAAGACTTACCCATTTTAGTGCATTTATAACTTCAGCATCTTAATCTGAAAATAGTTCCAAATTCACACCCTTTCTATTCTTTTAAATGACTGTTGTCTGTCTGTCTCCTTTTCTTTCATGAAGCAAATTTTGTATGTGGAATAACGGCAATCAAATAATTCTTTGGACAGTTAAACCAGACAAGGCTCAACTCTTTGGAGAGCTTAGTTTCCCTCTCTGAGGCATTTGTTCATTAATCCATGCATCAGCAAAGATTTCTGAGCATTTCCATCATATGCTTGACCCTGTGCTAAATGCTGTGGAGTGCAAGGATGAACGAGATATCAATTCTGCCATCAGGGGACCCATTCAAAGTCTAGAGAGTGGGGAGTATGTGGGCAGACGGAAAAAAAACAATGATTACAGGAATGTGTGATAAGTGCAATGATAAAAAAGAAAAAGAGATGCTCTGGGGGACAAGTGAAAACAGAGGTGGGCACCTATCAGGGTGAAGGCTGGGGAGTGGGGAAGCTTGCAGGAAAACTTCCAAGAGGAGATATTTGAACTAAGCCTTAAGGAAAAGACAGAATTAGCATTCCAGGCAGTGGGCCCAGAATAGCCAAGGCAGGGAAGAATGAGAGAGCACAACATTTTGGGCAGTTTGTAGGCAGGTCAGACCTTTGAATGCCCAGGAGCATGGGTATTGATATGTGTTTTAGATAAACTACTCTGACAGCAAAATGGAGCTCAGAATGGAGGAGGATAGTGAGTAGAGAGAGCAGTAAGGAAGCTACCACAGTAGTAGAGACCAGAAATTACCAAGTCCTGAAGGTGGTGAAGAATGGAGAGAAATGGATAAGTTCAACTCATATTTTAAAATAGTGCCAGGGCTTCCCTGGTGGCGCAGTGGTTGAGAGTCCGCCTGCCGATGCAGGGGGCACGGGTTTGTGCCCCGGTCCGGGAAGATCCCACATGCCGCGGAGCGGCTGGGCCCGTGAGCCATGGCCGCTGAGCCTGCGCGTCCGGAGCCTGTGCTCCGCAACGGGAGAGGCCACAACCGTGAGAGGCCCGCGTACCGCAAAAAAAAAAAAAAAAAAATAGTGCCAGATGCCAGGTGATGGGAGCAGCTGGATGACAGAGCTGGTCAATACAGCAGGAGGAGCAGGTGTGGGTGTGGAGAGGGCATGGGTTTTGCTTTGGTCCTAACCAAGTTTGAGAAGCTTGTGGGACACTCTGGTAGGAATGGGGTCCAGCAGGTGGTTGGATAGTGGTTTTGGAGCTTAATAGAGAACGCTGGGCCAAAAGATATGGTCTGAGGAGTGATTGAAATCATAGGAGTAGCTGAAATCGCCAGCGTTTAGGAGTTGAAGAAAGTGCATTCAGAAATGGGAGACTCAGGAAAGTGTGGTCACAAAGCTATAGGGGTGTACTTGGAGGGAAGACCCAACATAAAAGAGACGTCAGCATTCCCTGCATTCTGTATACTTAACACAACCCCAGTACAAATAGCAATGAGATTTGCTAGGGCAAGTTTCTTCTCCTGTATTTACACAGGACCTGGCATAACATCAGTGCCTGACAAATATTTCATGACTATACGTAGGGACATGCATCCAGTGGAATAATATGCAACTTCAGTGAAGAATGGGGTAGATCTATATGCTGATATAGTAAGATTCATATGAAGTTAAAAAAACGAGGTGCACACATGTTGATGCTGTTATGGATATATATATTTAAGGATATATATATATATGTAATGTTATATATAATTATATAAATGATAAACATATCTTTTTTTTCTGTAAGGATAATAATAGCTGATACATACAAAGCACTCAGTGTGTTCCTGGCACATATTTTAACTCATTTAATCTTTTCTGTTGGGTAAGCTACTACTGCGATCCTGTTGATACAGATTGGGAAACGAAGACACAGAGTGTAAGTGACTAGCCCAGGATCACACCGGGGTAGAGGTGAGAGCTGGAGCCAGGCAGTCCGTCCTTTCTACCACCGTGACCTGCTTCTCACACAGGAAAATGTTAACCTAGAAGGACGAGGGTGGGGAATGGTGGAGAGAGAATTTTACTTTTATTTCATACTCTTGAGTATTTAAAATATTATTTTACCACGCACATTATACTCCTTTAATCATAAACAAACCAATTTAAAAATATTTTTGAGAATTGGGCTTTAGGTATTAGCTGAGAACATCGCTGGGGACCTCTCCGGAGGGTCCAGTAGGCTGCCTGGTGGTAAGATGGAGGAGGCGGGCTGGTCGAGGACACATCCCAACAGGCTTGTGGAAAGGAAATACAAAGGAGATACTGGTTTGCTTTCCATATAATTAAAGTTCAGCCCTGAGAGCACAGCCAGCATTTAAAGCACAGCGGCCAGTTTCTGGCTTTGGTTTTTCCAGTGACTTATTTTTTAAGTTTCTCTCACTTAGAAATCCCCCCGCTGTGGATTCCTACATGCATGGCTTCTAGGGCTTCATTCCATGGATTTCATTTTTTTTTTAGTTTTTGACTAGGCAATACAGTCCTATAACTGAAGTTAAAATCAGTTGAAAAGGGGTAAATGAGAAATCTTACTCCCAACTGCTCTGTTTCCACCTTGGCCCTTATAGCTACTACTTTTTTTTTTACTTTCTTTGGTAACCTTTCAGTGATTCCTTAGACAAATTAAAGTATATATACACATCTATATTCTTAGCTTTATTTCTTTCCTACACCCCCAGGTCGCTGCTTTGTTCCTTTTTAAATTGGCACGTGGAGAGCTTCCTCTTTTTTTTTTTTTTTAAATAGCTACACGACTCACTGTCCATTGGGTTAGTTTAACGAGTCTGCTCTGAGCATATTCCCTTGACCTTGCTGTTGGCTTTGCTGAGGAGTCTCCAAGTTTGGACGAGTGTTTCTTCTCTGCTCCTCTATTTTTAGAGTTCTTCCCAGTCATCAGCTTCCTAGCAACTGACTGCATTTGTACCCACACTCTCCGTAATGAGGGGTAACTGAAGGCTTCTCTTTCTCTCTTTGTCTTCTCTTCCAGGGCACAGAGTGGGGGCGTGCCCTTCCCTGATGGCCCATGGGGCAGCAGCAGCTCACACCTGTTCCTTCTCGTGATTAAAAACAGACTCAGTTACTTCCACTCGAATCTCTTGTCACTGTCAATTTTCATCTTCTTGGGAACAAATGTGCTGGGGTGAAACTCCCGGGTATATAGGCTTATAGTTTAATTGTAAACATCTGTTGACAGAGCCCTGCACTGGCTGAACAGGTATGAAGTTACGTATTTCCTTCCTCTTTTTGTTTATTTTTAATCTGTGTTTATCACGACTCTGTATTTGTTGTCTGATTACTAACTTCCAAACACTTTGAACAGGCTCCATCGTTGGGGAGTGAGGATTAGGGAAGAGAAAAACTCACCCACAAAGATCTCTGCGGCTTGCTCTAGATGGGCAGAATGCTTGGTTAATTGACGATTATCATGGTTTGACAACCATCACCTGGGGCGTGGGCTGACAGGGGATGGCAATATTCCGTTTTAATGAAGGTGTTGATGTTTCCCCACCCACTTATCCTTCACAAATGTTCTTTCCCTGGCTTTGGTGGCCTGCCCTCGGGTGGTCCCTTCTGCTGCCAACACTGCCCACCCAGCTGGAGATTGCCATGGACACCATGATTAGAATCTTCCACGCTACTCCTGCAAGGAGGGGGACAGGTTCAAGATCAACAAGGGGGAGCTGAAAATGCTCCTGCAGCGACACCTCACAGAATTCCTCTCGGTGAGTCTGGCTTTTCTCCCCAACCATTCGAGGGTGGATGCGGTGCACATTCAGGGATAGCCTCCATGTACACCACCAACTCCTGTGTCCTGCTGCACATTGTATAATTCCTATTGAGATTCTAAATACAGGGAAGCAAACACTAGAGACCTTTGTTTTCTGTGTCTGTAGGCATGTGCGCTTTTCTGTAGTGCCTAGGGTTAGGGTTTCCAGTGTTGGAAATTATATTTGAGGCTTTTATCAATTATTCAATGTCGTAGTACAGCAAAGGTATAGCTAGTTATACTGGGAGTTATAACTAGTGACACAAGTATACCTGGAGCTCTGTCCTGCTGTCTATAAATGAATAAATATTATGTTTGGGGCCAGAAATGAAGCCTGGGGTATTTATGATATGATGGCAAATTTTCTAGTGAATAACAAATACCAGGTGAGTTTGTCAGCCAAGAACAAGCTGATTGGGATTGACCAAAAGGGTGTGTCTGGCCAGTGACCAGTTGGGTAGCAAATAGATTTACATCTCAAAACAGCCAGAAGTTCAATAAAACCGCTCGTGAAACCTTACAATGGAGTGTTTGGAGCCTGCTCTCAAGAAAATGCTCACTTTTGTGTTTTTGGAGTTGCCTTGAATTGATTTTAGCACGTGTAATAGCCTGGCATGATGTTATTCTGTCCAAACCCTGTGTTAAGACGATAGTAATTATAATTATGACACTCTTTTATCCCCACCCTCTATGGGAAAAGCTTAAAGTAAAAATTTTTAACATACAATACCTTTTCAGTAATTTTAAGAGTCCCTGAGAACATTTTTCTTTTTCAAATTCAGTTTGGCTACTGTATTACATAACATTTAGGGTAAAAAACTCAGTAGGCCACACTTGGCACATTGATTTATTCAAGTGAAATTTATAATTGTTCTTGATTGAGTTGATTTTGATCAATTCAATTTAAATTTCCAGCCATTTAATGGTTGGCAGCTAATGAGAGGACAATGGGGAGTTCTTGGAGGAAGTGAATTATACTTTTGGAAACATTTCTCATCAGCCTCTTATCATAGGAAAGGTAGGTGCTTCACCGCCCCACCCTTTCTGAACCCTGATCTCCTCAATGGGCTCCTTGCTTTCCTTTCCACCTATAAAATGGAGTCATCCTTATAAGATCTACCCTTTATTGGGTGCCTCTGTTTTGTTTTGCGACACACAAAACAGGCTGCCAGCTAAAATATTACGTGACCCATGCAATATTTGGGACATACTTATACTAAACAAGTATTCATTGCTCATCTGAAATCCACATTTGATTGGGCATCCTGAATTTTTATTTGCTAAATCTAACAACGTGGTGCTAAGCACTTATAAAAGCGTGTTGAAGTGGCCCCCAAATTTGTGGGAGATATTTTTTTCCTCATTTGATAAATTAGGACATTTTAAAATGTTAAGTGATTTGCTCCAAGTCCCAGTGTTGGTAAATGGCAGAGCCACTCACTATCCCCCTTTGGCTTCAAGGCTTCCTTCTTTTCATGTCCCCCTGATTTCCTCCCCAGGGGTCCTGGCCTTCAACCTGTCCAGTAAATGCATTTTCTTCATCAGCAGCTCACTTTGATGTGCTGCTGTTTGCTCCTCTTGGTGTTTAGGTCTGAGGATTATATGGTGTTGGGGGGGGGGGGGGGGGGAGGCTGGGGGGGGGGGGGGGGGGCGGGCAGGAGCCCAGACTCATTTAGAATGTGTGCCTGGTTCAAACCTCCCTGCAAATAGGCTCTTGGAAATTGCTTTAGATGCTAAAAATGGAAATGCAAACTTTAATGTAGATAAAAGGAAAATACGATTTCAGTTGTCATTATGAACCTCAGAGCTTGGGAGTTAGAAATTTTCTTTTTCCTTTTAGTGTCAAAAGGATCCCGAGTTGGTTGATAAGATAATGCAGGATCTGGATGCCAATAAGGACAACGAAGTGGATTTTAATGAATTCGTGGTCAGGGTGGCAGCTCTGATGGACCGTTGCTTGTAATGATTACTTTGTAGAACAGTTGAAGAAGAAAGGAAAGACAAGTAGTAAGCTAGTCTAAAGCTAATCCACAGTTATTTACCGACTGTTCATCTATACCCTCCAGATCCATAGTCATAGTAATGCCATTTATAGCTATAATATACATATAATTAGTTGCTAGTGTTAGTAAATGATGCATACCTTAGTATATTGACTTTAAATAAATATTCCAAATTTTATATGCCCTTCTTGAAATTTTCCTATATATATTTTTTAAATTGAAGAATAGTTGGTTTACAATGTTGGGTTAGCTTGAGGTGTACATCAAAGTGATTCAGTATCTATTCTTTTTCAGATTTTTTTCCATTATAATTTATTACATGATATTGAATACATTGGGTTGGCCAAAAAGTTCGTTCAGGTGTTTCCGTATCATCCTACAGAAAAACTTGAACGAACGTTCTGCCCAGCCCAATAGTTCCCTGTGCTATACAGTAGGTCCTTGTTGTTTATCTATTTTATATATAGTAGTGTGTATCTATTCATCTCAAGTAAAGATGTTATATACTTTTTTTGTCTGTCAAAGAGAGAGCATCACAAAAATTTAGCTCTTTCAAATGAGACTAGAACTCAGCAAATTTCTCAGACATTCATCGTCCTTAAATTGGACTTTGAAATTATCCTATTAAAGAAATAAAGTGGCTCTTGCACCCTCTTGTGATTCTGCTTCGAGAAGACAAAGCTGTGAGGGTCTGTAAGCAGAAAAGCTGATAAGTGGAAGGAAGTGCTGGCTTTTGCAGTGAGTTAGCTCAGGGAAGGGGTAAGTCCAGGCCTAGGTGCTCAAGCCAAGAGAGTGCGGCCAGCAACCCTTGGGGGCTGGTGTAGAAATACCTCCTTGTCCCTGGGGTCAGGTGATTCTGAAGCAAGTGTCTTAACGCCATTTCCCAGGGCTTCCCCTGGGCTGAGCTTCTGTGGCCCCCAGGGGAGGAGGCCTTGGTCTCGAACCTGCTCTGGGCTGCCTTCCCTTCCTGGTCTCGCTGTGAAGCCCCACCCATGTGTCCTGCATCTCTCAAACTACTTGTGTCAGGGTCTGCTTGGAGGAAACCCAAACTATGACAGATCCTTTGCAGGGGTCCCCAACCTTTTCGGCACCAGGGACCGGTTCCGTTGGAAGACCGGTTTTCCACGGACAGACGGGATGCGGGTGGGGGCGGGTGGGGGATGGTTCAGGCGGAAATGCGAGCGAAGGGGAGAGGCGGATGAAGCTTCCCTCGCTTGCCCGCTGCCCACCTCCTGCTGTGCGGACCAGTTCCTAGCAGGCCACGAACTGGTACCCGTCCGCGGCTCGGGGGTTGGGGAGCCCTGCTTTGGAGAATTTAAGAAAGGGAATGGTGTGATTATATTTATAATTTTAAGTGCTCAGACCAGCCACCGTGTGAACAAAGGGCTAGAGAGAGGGCAAGTGTGGAAGAGGATGACCTACTAGGAGGCCGAATGCTGTGGTCTGAGGGAGAGACGATGGTATCTCCGGCCGGGGTCTGAGCAATGGAGATGAAGAAAAGCAGTTGAATTTGCTGTCTTTTGGAGGTGGGAGTCATAGGACTTGCTGAGGGATTGGTAACCAAGTGTAGGAAAAGAGAGCAGTCCAGGACGATAGAACGGGTACTGCTGTTGCCTATCTGAGTCCATTCTACCTTTCTTCCATAGGTCAGAGCCCTGATTTATGCAGGGTGGCAACGTGCTTAGCTAAAAAGCCATATTTCCCAGCTTCTCTTGTGTCTGAGGTAGAGCTTGTAACAGTTCCGGGCAATGAGAGATAAGCAGAAATCTACTAGGGATTTCTGGGAGTGTTTTGCTCTTTCCATATAGGCTCTGTGCCTTCCACCTTGTTAATTCCTTCCTTTTCTTTCCATTGGCATGTGAATGTGAGGCTGGAGGTGGGGCTGCCATCTTGCACCCATGAGGACGGTGAAGAAAAAAGATAGAAGGAGCCGGGACATTGTTAGCTTAGGGGGACCAGTGCACAGCTCTGGTCTGCCTGCCTGTGGTCCTCTTATTATATGAAAATAAACAAACAAAAAAACCCTGCTCTCTGGTTAAGGTGGATTCTGTTAACATGCAGCTGAATGCAATCCCTAACGTTTAGATTTTTGGTCAAGCAAATGATGCAATTTACTAAATGGGAAAGACTGGGGTAGGAGGGGCTTTATGTGGGGACATTGAGGGGAATAGCTCTGTTTAAAATCCCTATTGAACATCTAAGTGGAGATATCATGTGCAGTTGGATATATGATCTTGTCCAGAGCTCAGGGTAAACAGGGAACTGGAGATACAGATTTGGGAGTCATTAGCATCTAGATGGTATTAAGCCACAGGACTAGAGGAGCTCACTTAGGATGAGAATGTGGGTAGAGAAGAAGAAAGGTCCAACAGTTTAGCTTTCAGCAGAAAGAGGAGCCAACAAATGATACACCAAAGGCATAGTCAGGGAGTAGAAGGAAAACCAGGTAAGCGCAGTACGTTAGAAGCCTAGGGGAGAAAGTCTCTGGAGAAGGAAAGAGGGTGAAATCCACTGAGAGGAGGAGTAAGTTGAGAACAGAGACCAGACCTTTAGATTTGCCAAGGTAGAGATCATCAGTAACATCAAGGACCCTGACCAAAGTGATTCTGCTTACAGAGGTGCCTATCTCCCTATCTGGCTGATAGTAGGTGCTCAATAAATATCTAATAAACAAATAAAAGAATCTGCCAATTGTTGACTTTCTAGTGCTAAGACCTGTCATTTTGTTCTTTAAATAGGATTTTTTTTGTTGTTCCCCTTAAGCCCATTCTGAGCAGATAGGACAGAGAGAATTTAGAGGTCAGAATATTCTAGAGGTGTATACCCTTGGTATTTATTTACTCCTATCTGTCAAAATGTTGGAAGAGATAATGAGAAGAAAAAATTGAACACTTTTTTCAGAGATGTTTAGGCTCTTTTCTTATAAGCAGCCATATTAATTATTCAAGAGAAGGTCTGACTATTTCTCAGGGACCTTTAAACTTTTCATTTTAATTTGGTCCAAAGTTTACATATTGAAAAATGGGCCACTAAATCATGAGAAGTAAATCCAAAAATTTCCTCATGTTCTATTAAAGGAAGGACATTCTCAACAGAGAGAAATAAATGGAAAAGCAATGTTCATTTCATGGTGTTTCTAAAAATTGATGAAAAGTTAGGAAAAGCAATTTATGTGTCAAATTAGATTTCAAATGAGTAAGAATTACATGATGTACCAAAAGCTCTTTTCTAGTAATGGAGAGGCTTTCTTTTGTGTGTACGTGTTAGGTACTTACAATAAGTTTGTAGGAGGCAAAACCGATTATTTCTTCCGCCCAGAGGCCCTGGCCTTGCATTTGCTGGAGCTTAAATCAGCTTTAAACAATATTCAAGGGTCATCTCTAAATTAGCACATTCTGATGTTTAACATTTTCTCAGTGTGGTTATGGAAGACAATAGCCTACATCTGCTTGGGGCCCTGGGCTTGAGATATGGCTGACGATACAAACAGCTAGAAAGCATTAAAGAAAAACAAAAACCTTAAGTTTTAATTTTAAAAACAGATTTTGTTTTTCCTTAAGAATCGTGGGGTTAAGGAAGGCTTTACAGAGGCAAAGAAATGGGGCAAGGATATTAAAGAGAGAACTTGGGCAAAGTCACACAGGTATGAAAGAACAGGACATGTTGGGGAGAATGCTGTTGTTTGGGGCACCCTAGGGTATGGGGTGTGGGAGAGCAGGAAATGGGGCTGGAGAGGTAGACAGGGCTCAGAATCAGAAAGGGCCTTGGGTGTTAATGTGAGAAATTTGAAATTTATCCTGAATGTTATGAGAAACCGTTGTAGGATTTTATGTATTTTTTTCTTATTACTTAGAGCAGTTTTTATGTCTCTAAATGTCCCCCTAAAATATTTAAATCTTTAAAGCAGTGGTTTTGAACTCTAACTTCACATTACACTCACCCAAGGTATTGCATAAAAATATAGATGAATATAAGCTCCATCCCCACTAAGATTCTGATTCAATTGGTCTGGGAACAGGACCCAGGAATTAGAATTTTAAAAAGAGCACCAGGTGATTCTAAATGCAAACAGGGTTGAAAAACCCTCCTTTTTATGGTGACTTGCTTAATCAAGTAATCAGATCAACTTCTGGCTGAGAAGTGTGCGGGGACAGTGGCTGCTCCAACTTTAATGTGTGTGAACCATCTGGTGATCCGATTCTGCATCGGTAGGTCTGGGCTGGGGCCTGAGGTTCTGCATTTCTAAGAAACTCCTAGACGTTGACAGTGCTGATAGAAATGCTCTAGGATGAAGAGGAAAGGGTCGGAACAAAAGTATGGAGGTGCTGTTTTGGAAGCAGTTACCTGTAGAATAGTTCTTGCTGGGGAATACTCCTTTTGGAAGAATATAAGACAACACAAGACATTAGGCACAGAGAGGGCTGGGGGAGAGGTGGAAGCATCCAGGAAGGAACATTCCCTAAGGCCCCAGGGGAGGGGGAGGAACAGTCTGCCACCGGACTGCCTTGTGTTGTTACTGAACACAAGTTCATGCGCCCGAAGCACAGAGAGGCCAAACAGAAACGTCAGGATTTGGAGCAGAGAAAAGTTTATTGCAGGGCCAAGCAAGGAGAATGGGTGTCTGGTGCTCTAAAAAACCCCGACCTCCCCAATGGTTTGGAGGACAAGCTTTTATATGCAAAATTTAGAGTGAGGGCTGCAGGGTGTGTGACTTTCTTCTGATTGGTTGGTGGTGAGGTAACAGGGTGGTGCTCCAGGAATCTTGTGCTCCGCCTGTCGTCACCATCCTCTACCTGGGTGGGGGCCTTAGTTCTGCAGAAGAACTCAAAGATATTGTTACATATATTCCTTGAGGAGGAACGAGGATCCTGCTCTGTAGTTTCTTGATTTTTGCTACTTTGTTTTTGCATTCCTTCACTTCCCTGATTAGCCACTGTTTGAATCTGCTCTCCTACACCTCATACTCTAGGGTGCCCCAAACCACTGGCATTCTCCCCAGCAGGTACCGTTGCTTCATAACTTCTTATT